ATGTTTACATATAGTAAAATTATGCTTATAGAGCAAAACATGTAAAAAACTTGTTAATCAAGGTGGCAAACAAATAAAACAAAACAAGGAAACACAATATTTAATTGAAATTGTTCAATTTATCTTGTGAAATTACGAATAATCTGCATAAATTTATTTTTAGTTGTGGTTATTAGATTTTCTTTATTTAAAATAACAAGTCGAAGAATACAAATGGATCTATTCGTGCAATGACTATAGAAAAACAGTTTTCACACATAATTCTTGTAATGTGGGACAGCTTAGGAAAAACAATATAACAGTTATTTTAATTTAATAACTTTTGTTTACTTGTTACTTTAATCAACAGCTATATATTTAACCTTAATATATTTTATATATACTTGTACTATACTTTAAATTAAAAAATTCTTTATATTTCCCCGATTTTCTGAAAAAAGTTTTTCTATTCCCCCTCCTTTTCAAAGTTGTTTCCTCTTAAAATTGATAAAATAAATTTAATTTAAAATAAAATTTCCCTAAATTTTTATAAATGTATGCTAAAGAAGGATTAGCTAAAGACTACCTGGCTCTGAGGACATAAGCCACTAAAACCCGTTATAAACTGGAAATAATGGTTAACTGTTAAGTAATTTTAATAGTTGGTCTTGGGTCTTTTAACTTTGTATAATTTTAATACGAAAACTCTCTTTTATATAAAGTATTTCTACTAACCTTAATTTGATTTGAATTCATTGTTTTAATAACAACAAAGGGCTTTATGACTGCTTAGAACAAAGTTTCAAATACATTGGGAAAATTCAATCGAAATTTTAGTCCCAAAATTTGTTTATTTACAACTATTAAATCTTGACCAAAGGATTGAATTTTACCAAACTGTACAATTACAAAAAAGTTCTACTTATGTATATTTTTAATCTCACTGTTACGTTGGGAAGAACAACAATTAAGTATATTGTATGTACAATTATATGCATTTATATCTATATATGTATTGTATATTTGTATATACATTTTTGAAATTATCAATATAATATAAATATTAAATTGCTTGAACTAGAATAATACCAATAAAGATAAGTGATGTAATTAAAATGACGGAAAACAATAATAAAAAAAATTAAAACAGCTGTAAAACGATGAATGTAATTATAAAATATCAATTAAGGTGACTTACTTATTTTAATTGTTCTGTTAAATTAAGACTAAATCGTTTGCTATTCTAATGAAAGTTCTGTTTTCTAGAGAAAATCATTTGTAATTTGCAATATTATAATAACTAAAATAAAAGATGTTGACAGTGAGTAAAACAAAATTCTTGAAGACGGTACATAAGGGTATCTACCCACATTGTACTACATGCATACATATTTATACATATGACAACAAGCTTTAAGATAGCAATTGCGTTTTAGAAAAAAATAATATATAGTGATAAGAAAAGCTGCGGTAACTTAGTCACGCAATTTCAAAGTCATAAACATTCTACAAATTCATGTACACGTGTATGTTCATATAATACACTTAATAATATTTTCTTACACTTTTATGTTTGAGATTCATTGTAGTAATTTGCGACTAAGAAACACTTTATTTTTTATATTGAGAGAATATACATATGCAAGTATATAAATGTACATTTGTATAAGTAAATAAATTGTGTGCTTTTGAATGATAAGCTTTATATTTTAGAATTCACTTTAATGCTAGCAAAAACAAACACTGCAGGTAAGAAGAAAAAATTTATGATATAAAAATTTGTTTTAATTAAGAGTTTTAATTGATAATTAAGCAATTTTTTGAGCCTGTAAGCCTACGCCTCAATTATTTTTTTTTATAATTTCAAAATGAAGAAAAAAAATTGTTTTGACCGATTTTATTTATCAAAAAAATGTTTCATTTTGTCACTGAACTAGACAAAATCTAAATACCAAACTGGCAAATCTGAATAATATATTCAAAATCCTAAGCCGACTTACAGAAAAATATATACGCTAATCAATTTGCAACATCACATCCAAACAAATTTTTAGAGCTAGTATTGCAATTTGATGTTAGAAATTTTATCAACCTATTTTTGTATAATATACAAACTTGTATTTATGTACATATTAATCTAGTTTTAATTTTTCCGCGTTTACACATAAACTCCTAAAATGTACTTATAAAAGATGTCTGTGCTGCCATCGCCATCAGTTATATTCATACTCATTATGGTGCTTTATTTGCGCATACTATACGCAATTTACGTAAAAAAAATAAAATATTTAAACAAATACATATTTTCCATTTTCCCTACTTTATATAATGCGTCAAATTGAAAGAATGTAAACTGGGGGATAAACGCTTTATAACTATTTTATATACATTCACGTATGTTGTTGTACCTTTAACTATAAGAATTCATAATTTATATAAGTATTTATTTATTTACAAGATGTATTGATAATGACACAAATATGTTTAAAAAGTACCAAATTTTATGAACTAAGGGTTATGAGAGTAAATTTTAAAATTATGTGATAACTAAATTTTATTACCACAGCCGAAATACTTAATTTGAAACAGAGTTATGCTCAGAGCTCAAACATTTTTTTCTAATACGTAATGTATACATGTTGATATGTATGTATATTGTATAAGTATATAGTCGTGGTAATATGAGCATAAGTACTTAAATGAAATATAATTTAATTTTTTATTAAACTAACAATTTGTATGTGTAATTAACGTTAAACCGGTTACAACACATATGTATATAATGAATACGTACTATATACATAAATATATCAACAGTACATACATTTGCCGACATACGTCATACAAAAGTTTAATTGTTTTCTCTCACATTCGGTAATTTCTCACATAATCATAAAGATACTAGCATTGTATATATACATAAGATATATACAATTACGTTATACATATACGATCAATTTAATGAAAACTAGTGAATATACATGCATGCATATCAACAAATTTGATATTTGTTGCAGACAAATTATTAGATTTATACGAAATTTGATTTAATATATTTAAGTACTTATATTTGTACATAGGTCATTAAATTTAAATTAAGGCAATATATATATATATATATGTACATATATATATTATTATTTGAAAATTCATAATTACTCAGAATTACTTAATTGCACTTCTATAGGATAATCATTAATTTTGCGCCAAAATCTGTATTGACTCAATTATTTTGTAAATATCTTGTTTTGAAATTTTAATTATACAACCAGTGTCGTACAAACTTATAAAGCTTTTGCTTAAATTCATACTTTTCCTTTCTATGAATTTCAAAATTTATTCCCAAGCAAGCAAGCACTTAAGTAATTTTTTAATATGTCAAAAATTTACTCGTATATCACCTTCTACATCTAAGGAATCATCATATTAACCCAATTTAATCCTTACTGATAATAATAAGTATATACTTAGATTAGTTTTTGTTTAGTTAAACGCCAATTATAAATGGAAGGAGAAATTTGTTATACTGCGATAAACAAACTATTTGATTCGTACTTTCATATAACAATAATAATAATATTTACTGATTACATGAAAAATATTATTTTTTAGTTAGATTTAATTAAGTAAAAAAATGAAATTTAATGAAGCATATTGTGTTATATTTAAATAACAACGTAATTTTAAATCTATAGGTCAATAAAGTATCTCAGATAATTTTATTGTCATATGCTTTATATTAAGCTAAGTATTTTCCTTTTCATGCGCATCTTTTTTATTTGTTTATTTTTTAAAATAAGTAGGTATAAGTTTAAATTAAATAATTTGTAACAAAGTTTATTCGAATTGTATAAGAATTTTTAATACTTATTAAAGCTTTATTATTATAGGAAAACACAATGTGTAATAATGTTAACTGATCTCATTTTAACGCTAATTTAGAAGAGAAATATATGTGGGTACTTATTTTTATTATTTCCTATATAAAAATATTATTTGAATAATTTGAAAAATGCCCACAATTAATTAATCTCAATCTACAAAACAAGGTATACACTTGCAATTAAGAGTTTTGTATACGAACAAATCGAAGAGGTTATATGCATATGCATGTTCATAAAAGGTTGCTTCAAGGTAAGACAGAGTGTATTTCTAATTAAGTTGATAATATTCAAGTGCAAACCAGTCACTCTCATTTATTCTCTAATAGCACTCTTATCTACTTCGGAGTATTTAGAACTAAGTACATAGTTTGTTATTCGAACGTAATTTTATATATAAGTATGAAAAGCAATTACTAAATTGTATTTAAGAGCGAACGCATAAAAAATTCATACATATACAGTTAGGGTACTCAGAATTTGTTAGTTAGATATTAAGCAATTTATGAGAAGAAATTCGTGTAATTATTTTACCTAAATTATATGTCTCTTAACCATTGTTTTATATAAACTGGTGTAGTTGGAAATCAGAAGCACCTACTCCTTTAAACTATTTCTCGTGTGTATTCTACATGAGGTATATCAGATGAGTGTTATACACCTGGGGCGTCATGCAAATACATATATACAAAATACATTAATTCCCAACTTTCAACGGTTCAAAACAAATTATTGTTTCTTTAGATATAAATATGTATAAATTAACAATATATGTATGTATATTATAAACTCTTGCTATATTATATTAACGGTCATTTAACTATGCTTTTGTTTATACCTATATAAATAAAATTTTAAAGCAAATCACTGTAGCTATACATAGATTATAGAAAATCTTATTGAATAACTTGTGGAACATGGTATTAAATAAAAATTCAACGCTATTGAAACAATCACGTACATTTTACAGGCGAGAATAATATTTAAATGTTATTAATTCTTATATTAAACAAATTATTAATTTTTATGTTCGACACATATACATATACACAATATGTATATGTATGTATGGATTGTTTATAATATGTATGTCAAATATAATGTATACGTATTCATATACGCATATAGTTTACTACTTACTTGAGAATGAAATTTCCAATCTTTGTAAACTTTTATAACATAATCCATTTTGTGTTTTTCTGTTTTTCTTCTTTTTCTTCTTCTAATGTTATACTTTATAATTACAATCAATTAAATGCAAAAATTTCAATTAAAAAATTAAAAAAATTTGTTTTGTGTTTTTTTCTTTTATAAGATTTTACTCAAGGTTAAATTGTAATAAAGTTGAACTTATGCAATTATTAAAAAAATTTAATGTTAAATTTAATATTTTATAAATTTATGTATGTTTATGTATATTTATAAATTATAAGTTTGGTGATGTGTTCTTTATGTGTTAATAGAACAGTTAAATTATCTTAATTATTTTTCTTGTTAAAAACATTAAAAAATATTTAAAATAATTCCTTTTTTATTATTGTATTGTTTAATATTTACAAAAACAAAAATTTTATAAAAATTCATTAAAAAACTTTTATTTATTGTACGCGGACGATAACTATTTCTTATTGTTTCTAGATCTGAATAATATAAAAATTATTTATAAAAATAATAAGTAATTAAAATTTAAATAAGATTATTTTTTTTAAATATGAATGTATATATATACATATAGCTATATAAATCTGCAAAAAGGTCACAACTACATAAATTTTAGATTATAATGTAAATTTAGGTTTATAAATGTACAAAATTACTATATTGTGAATATTCATAGTTATTTTATCAGTGCAATAACTTCCGAGAACATTCTGAGAATGTTACTGAATATTTCTATGTATATCAATATCACGATTTAAATTTATTAATGCATATATTACAAAATGTGTATATTCAAGTAAAAATATATAGAGTACTCGTATCGTATAAACGGATAATAAGTACCAGAAATTAACTCTATTTTATAATCACGTAAATTGAAAATAAATTTTGGGTTATTATAATTGAAATAAATTTTTGGGTTATTGTAAATAACTTTTACAATAAGTCCATGGATATGTTGAAGGTTAATGTAAAAACCAATGTCCCGCAAAATGTTTAAATGGAATACTCGTCTGTTATGAAATCAATTTGAAATTTATATTAACAAGTTCTTTTAATTTTAAGTTCAATTGCTATGCGAAACCTATTTATATATACTGCTTTATTTTGATACCGTTGTCATTTTATGCAAAATTGTATTTTCCGACTCACATTTTTAGTAATAACATATTTACATTTAATATTGAGATTAAGAATAGCAACACCTTGTCAAAACAAAAAAATATTAATAAAATGTATATCATAATGTTCTGGTTTTCGGGGACTATTTCGAATTTCATGAAGATTCACTTCATTCGTTTTTTTTAATAAGATGTGTGGAAGAGAATACTACTAAATGATTATTTAATCACATGTTGTTCGTATCTCACATTTTTAATTAATTTGATTGATTTCTTTTACATAAGATACGTATATGATTTGATATTTGTCCTGATTCGTTGTAGTGAAAATCTGGCAAGTTTATATAAGTGAGCATACTAATTATATACATATTATAATATAAGAGAGCTGTAATAAGACTATTAACTAAAAATTTAAAAAAAATAAATAATATTTTTGTAATATTATCATAATATAATAATATCTTATACAATTTTTAGTATGATAAACAGGTGGTACGTACCACATCTCATATACACACCGTAAAATATATGTGTATGAAATATTGAAGATCCTTATATGAATTGAAATTCAAAAACCTTGTTTGGAGAGTTCAGGAAGGTATTTGGAGTTTGGAGGGAAAGGTATTTCTTCTGCATATGGCACTAGGTATGGTTTGTGCTAATAAAAAATACCCATAAAATATTTACTAAATATTAATCAGCATTTTGAAACCATTGAAATTATTAATATTAACAATATTTTAGGGGGCGTTTGAAATATACAGTGACAATAAATCCAATTTACATATCCAGTTTTTACAATATTTTTTATATTTTAATTGCAATTTAAAGCTTTAATTATTTGTTAATTTCTTATTAAATTTGCTAATGTAAATGTAAATAAAGAAACAAATGTTTTAATATAACAATAAGAGTGCAGTTGTTAATTACAAAATTATATATTGTGAATAAAGTGAATAATTTATTTTTTATAAGATTTTTATAATCATTATATAAAAACCGAAGTATGTAGATACGATAGAAAGTATCTCAAATGTAAATTAAAATTTAACTAGCCCGTTACAGTTTAATTATAACAAAGACCACGTCATATATACGACTCAACTATACGATATGGTAAAGATTTACATCAATTTTAGTTTGTAAAAAATGATTCATCTCAAAAAATATATATTTTTCTGGAATGTTTGTAATATTATTTGAAATATTATTTAATTTATAAATTTTACTTAAAATTTCCTAAAAGTATGTGTACATGAGTATGTGTACGACTTTCATTTATATACTCATTAATTAAACACGAAAAATTCGACATAATATCTCAAGAGAATCTATAAAGAACGTCCTGCTACATGATAAAATTTAATAATAAATTAATAATTGACCTCCTACTAGTTTCTTTTTAAAAAATTAAATAATTTAGAAGGTTGAATACTGGACACAACATAATTTGGTACTTAGAATTCAGTTAATGTTATAGGACCTTATCAGTAGCAATATTTAATCAAAAATAAATTTCTTCACATTCGTTTCGTCTATATACTTTTACATATATTATTTTAATATCAAAGTTATTTACATTTTATCATTTTTTTCAATATATGTACGTATAGTTTGTATACATTTTGTCAGATTTCATTTATTCAAATTATAAAAAAATCATTATAGAAATACTTATTTGTTTTTTATAATTTGTAACCTTGTTTTTCTTATTTTATATTCCATAAAAGCACAAAAATATTTGGCAATTAAAATTAAATTTTCAAGGTTAGAAAAATTTTTGTGCAATTTTCAATTGAAACAATAATTTTACATTATTATAAGTCAATTCTCATTATAGATTTTGTATTGTCTATAAGTATATAATGCGTATTCTACTATGGTATGAGTATGCGTATATTAAAAATATTTGCTCTAATTAATCTTACATATATAAAATTTTTGTTTTTTGAATTTATGCGCGCCTATAATTGTACATATGTATATATTTTTTCAAATCTATTGACAGACTGATTGATTAAGCGAACTTTGTATAAATTTTGATATCAAATTATGTTAATCACATTTTTGTACATTTCAGAATTACATTACGCATAAACCAGCGTCAACTACGCATAAACGCATAAACTCTTGCGTAATGTTTAATATTATATACCTATACTGCAATATTTATGATACACAAGATCTTCATATTATTTGTACGTATCGTATGCTTTGTGTAATAATAGTTGAGACCTTTTTGCAATTCATATTGTCAAAATAATTGTGAAGAGTTTTAGTTCACATTAATCACTTCATTTAATTAGTGCACTTTGAATTAAGAGGCGCTGTGACCCGTCAAACATGAATGTTTGACCTAAAAATTACAACTTTCTTATTTCTTGTTTTTGACTTAAAACAGGAAATAAGGAAGTGCTAAATATATTTTTCAGTAAATTAATTTCTTAAATTCAGTAAATTCATTTCTCGAAATAATTTAAGTTTAACTTAAATTAATTCGAGCTACAAAATAAACAATTAATATCTATATTTAGATGAAATCATAAGCGCTATCATAACATTCAAGAATCAAATATTGATAAGTATCTGTTTTCCGAACTTATGCTGAATTGTTAGTATGTAGTAATAAAAAGTTAAATCGATATTTTGAAATATAGAAACTATGTGTCGCTATTAATAATTTTTGGTATAACCTAAAACTTTTAAATTGTAATCAAAATTGTAAGTGTTAATAATTGTATAATTAAAAAAATTTTGTATTAAAATATTTTGAAGAACTGCGGTAATACTCTACATTATGTCATTGTATAGTTAGTAATATTCTAAATATTTCGAACCACTAGTCTTCACAATTCCACAATGGCAACAAATAATTTTACCAACTGCTTTATTTATCAAAAAATTTAATCCACATTAAAATGAAATATTAAATTCAATATTGTAAATATTTCCAAAATTATTTCAAAAAATTATTTTAATTTCTTCCTTTTTTTGACATTTACAAAAATACATAAATTAAAATTCCAAAAATTCAAAAATATTTCACAAAAATTTCACTAGTATTTTATTTCATTTAACCGAATTATCGAACAAAACCGATCTATTCTTTAAAAATATTTTCGTTTATTTTAACTTTTATACTAGTGACTAGTTTGCCGGATTGATCATGACTGATTAATTTTCAGATAAAATTTCAAAAAAAAAAAATAAATAAAAACACAATGATATTTTTTTTCCAAAGCTCAAATTAAAAAGAAAACTAATAAACTGACAGAGAGAAGAATAATCGGGGGATTTTTGTTTTCCTTTCATATTTTATTAAATAAAGTTGGGTCAAACCAATGGTTTGTATTGTAGCACTTTTCCCTTCAACAAGTGAAAATTCTGCTTTTAAATACAGTCTATGTATAGCTATCACACTATTAAAATTATTTTCATTCATATACAAAACTATTTCTAGGATTGCATATATTTAGGATGACGCATATATGCAGTCATTGAAATAAAGCAAAAATTAATATAAAAAGGGGTTAACATAATGCTCGATTTTAAGGGTTAATTGTGTGAGTTAAGAAAAATAATTATATTTTTTAATTTCACGGAATTTACCGTTAGCTTTTTGCGTTTATAAAAATTTGGAAAAGCTTGCGGTTTCGGAAATATAAGGTGTCAAAAATTCAAATTTTACGAATTTCAAGAGGTGATAACTTGAGAGGGGGTGGAGATGGAAAAAAATTTTCTTCTAACAAAATGAACTATTTATTAATATCTAAAAGCTCCTAAAATTTCAAGGGTCTGGAAGAAAAACGACATCAAAAATTTGGAAAAAAAGGACTTTTAATAACGATAAATTTGAGCGGCCATTTTGTTTTTCTTAAGTTGAACTATAGTATACCGCGCAAGAGGAAGTAAGCCACTGCCTTTCTGCGTTTGCAAAATTTCAAAAGTGCTTATGGTTTCATTGCAACAAATATTTAAAAAAGGCCATTTTTAGAGTTTTGGGGGGGTATAACTTCTAGAGGGGGGGAGGTAGGTAAAAATTTTGTTCTACGGAAAT